CCCGCTTTGTTCATTTGTTTCCTAAATTCCACATGTGAGTCAAATCATATGGTATTTATCTTTTTCTGATTGACTTACTTCATTTAGCATCATATTCTAGCTCCATTCATGTCATTGCAAATGGCAAGATTTCATTCTTTTTTATACTTGAATAACATTCCATTGCATATACATATCACATCTTTATCCATTCATCAGTTGATGGACATTTGGGCTCTTTCAATAGTTTGGCTATTGTTGATAATGCTGCTATAAACACTGGGGTGCATATATCCCTTTGAATTAGTGTTTTTTTAATTCTTTGAGTAAATACCCAGTAGTGCGATTGCAGCATCATATTTCTATTTTTAACTTTTTGAGGAAACTCCATTTTTCTGTTTCCCACAGTGGCTGCACCAGTTTGGATTCCCACCAACAGTGCACAGGAACTCCTTTTTCCCTATATCTTAGCCTACACCTGTTGTTTCTTGTGTTGTTGATTTTAAACTTTTTTTTTTTAAGCTTATTTTTGAGAGAGAGAGAGTGAGCAGGGGAGAGGCAGAAGAAAAGGGAGAGAATCCTAAGCAGGCTCCACACTGTCAGTGTGGAGCCCGATGCAGGGCTGAAACTCACGAACTTCGAGATTATTACCTGAGCTGAAATCAAGAGTCAGATGCTTAACCTACTGAGCCACCCAGGTGCCTCTGATTTTAGACATTGACAGGTGTGAGGTGAAATCTCATTGTAGTTTTTATTTGCATTTCCCTGATGATCAGTGGTGTTGAACATCTTTTCATGTGTCTATTCATAGATATTTGGCATTTAGATTGATTCCCATTCTTCCCAGTGATAAACAATGCTGAAATGGGTTGGGCCTGTTTGTGGTGCCATCATTGTGTACTTGTCCCATTTCCTTAGGGGAAGGGGAATTACTGAATCAAAGGAAGTCATGTATCTAAGGCATTTGTGCATATTAACAAATTGTCCTGCAGAAAAGGCTCTCGGTTTGTCTAGTATAGAGATGACATGAATTACTAGTGACATAATATTCATTTACATGCTTATTATTCAAACAAATGTGTCCAGCCATTCATGTTATAAGGTTTGGGGCCTGTTCAGAGAAAGGAAGATCCTGCCTTGACATTCCTACGGGCAATATATGGTGGACAATTTTCTCATTTAATTATCTAGATTCGTTCTTTTTCATCTTGCCATCAAACCTGCATAGCTACCTAAGGCCCCACCTGGTGACCCTAGAAGGGCTTCTGTATCTTTAGACCGGAGTTCAGGTTCGGACTTAGTGACTCCAGGCTTTCTCTTCTCAAAGTCAAAGCTAGCTCCAAGAGTGAGTATGGTGTGTGGGCTGGCCGCCTTTCAGGGGAGGGTTCCTCCGAGAGGGGCTAGCTCTTTGCCATTTGGTACCCTCTTACCTCTGTTTGCCGGTACAAGTGCCTGACACATGGGGGACCCCCAGGAAATGTTTGTGGAGCAAATGAATAAACATACCACTCTAGCTTCCACTGCTTTCCTATTATGTAAACTCATGACATCGTGACACATTAAAACAGAACTATTCTCTATTTTCCTCTTTGAGGGTAGGTCTTAGCCATCTTTGGATCTCAAGCTTCTAGCACATAGTAGGTTTTCGATTAGTGTGTAGGCAACTGTTGATGTGGGGGCACATCTCTCTTCATTCAGCCCCCACCTCAGCCAGCTCTGGACTTTGTCGAAATCTTAGTTCTGTCAGGATTAGCTCAAAAATGCCACCTTCTTTCTTGGTTACTCTAGCCAAAAGAGTAAAAGCTGATATTTTTTGGCTCAGTGTTTTATTTTTTTTTTTTATTTTTTTATTTTTTATTTTTTTTTTCAACGTTTATTTATTTTTGGGACAGGGAGAGACAGAACATGAATGGGGGAGGGTCAGAGAGAGAGGGAGACAGAGAGTCGGAAACAGGCTCCAGGCTCTGAGCCATCAGCCCAGAGCCTGACGCGGGGCTCGAACTCACGGACCGCAAGATCGTGACCTGGCTGAAGTCGGACGCTTAACCGACTGCGCCACCCAGGCGCCCCTTGGCTCAGTGTTTTATACATATTACACATATTAATCCTCAACCATTCAAATTCGGTATTATCATCCCCATTTTACAGTTTAGGAAACAGAACTAATTTCCGCAGTGTCAAACAGTAGTTAAGTGACAAGGTCAGGAATCAGACTGCATAAATGGCCTTCAAGACAGAGTCCACAGCCACTAAACTCTACAGAAGGTATCTCTCTGCACTACATTCCTATTATATTTTGTTCGTCAGATTGGTATAGATCTGTCTCATCGTCGCCACATCTCCATATTCTACTGGATCAAGAGCTCCCTGGAGAGTTTCTTTGTAAGTCCAGGGAGTAGACAGTGTCTAGATATTGGTTCGTGATGCTTAAGTATGTACTGATTGATTTGTGGTCCTAGTTTCTGTGTCTAATACCCATGAATAGGAGGCATCGAGAACCATGCAGACTCACTCCCAATTTAGAATTCTTCCTGCTCTCGCACAGTATCTTGAACTGGTCCATGTAACTCACACACTTACAATTCTTTTTCATGGTTTGTGTACTTGCCCCTTAAAACTGGTAGCATCCAAGGATATATCTTACATGTGTTTCACCTCCTTATCCCAAACTCTTGGCTTAGCACTGAGGTGCTAATAAATTGTGAATTGATATACAAACCTCTGTCACCCCTCACTTATCAGATAATAAACAAACACTTCCAAGCACTCCCCCCTTCCCCAAAGGCAAGCTTGCTGAGTACAGATACTGGGGATCACGCCCCAGGGTCCACTGGAAAGGCCCACCAAGCTGGGAACGATAGTTTAATGTTTTAGCCTCTCCCTGGGTGTGGCCTTTGTAGGGTTGTCGACCTGTCCCTAGTCTCCCTGTGGCCTATTTCTTTGTGTCTCTATCTCTTTGTCTCTGCCAGTTTCTCTGTCTTTTGTTTCTCTGCCTCTGGGCCTGTTTTCTCTGCAGATTCCCTTCCTTTTCTTATAGCTCTTCCGACTGTGCTCCAATGATTTCATCTATCTCTTATGTTTCTACATCTCTTTGTCTCTGGAGGCCAATCTTTTGCTCCTGTATTTTTGGTTCGCCGCTCTCTCGGTCTCTCTCGGCTTTTGCGTTCTGACTGGGGGTTCTTAGGTTACGACTTTGTGTCTGGCTCAGGGTCTCCGCCCCGGGCCTGATTTCAAAGGCTGACTCTCCCCAGCATTTCCCAGGCGTCTGCTTCTAGCCTCTAGCTGCTGCTCAGGCTTCAGTCTCCCCCAGCCCAGCCCCCATCCCCACCCCACCCCCGGCCCCAGGCCTCTCGGACCCGCCGCGCTTTGTTTCCTGTGTCTCGGCGCCCCGCCCCCGCCCCGTCTGGGGTCTCCGCCGCCCTTTGTTTGCCTGGGTCTCTCCCCCACCCCTTTCCCTGGGTCAGTCTTCGATCTCTCTTTGTCTCTCCGGGCCAGGGTGGCTGGCGCAGTCGGCCAGCCCCGGGGGTCGGCGCAGGTGGCCCGACAGAGCGACAATTAGGAAGAGTCTTCGGCCCTCATCACCCGGCTCCGGCCCAGGAGGTACACGGTTAATACCACCGAGTTCGGGCAACTGTCCTCGGCTTAGAGTAGCCCTCTCCGCGGCACGCGGCCTTCCGCCGGCCACCGAGCGCCGACAGACGCGGGCGGCCTCCACAGGCTTGCAGCTCCTCCCAGTTCCTAGAGCGGCTTGGTGCGGCCTGGCGCTTCCGCTTCCCGTCCCCGCCCCCGGCGGCCGCCCCCGGGACGCCTGGGTCCGAGCCCCCTCCCCATTTGGCGCGGAGCCCGCATACCCCGGCCGCCGGCTGCTCCGGCAGCGAAACCCCGCCAAGGAGCTCGTGAGGGCGCCGGTGTGGCACAGCCGGAGGCGGCTGGGAGGAGAAGGGGGCGCTGCGGGCCGGAAGGAGCAGCAGGTGCAGGGACGGCCGGCGGCGCGGGCGGGGGTCACCGGGAGCCGCACCCCGCACCTCGGACCCGGCCGCTGCCCGGTGCCCGCGCTGGCCGGCAGAGGGCAGCGACAGGGTGCCGCGGGCCGCACATGGCTGTGTGACCGTGGGATTGTGTCTGTCCCCTTGCTCAGGGCGGCGTGCGGGCGATGGAGCGCGCGGTGGAGCCCTGGGGCCCGGATCTCCAGGGCGCAGAGGAGAGGGAGCAGCTGAGAGGCGCCCGCACAGGTGAGGGCCGGGGCAGTGCCCCGCCACGGGCAGGTAAAGGCTGGGTGGGGACTCCGGTGCCGGGCTGTGTCTGGCCGAAGCCCAGAAAAATCGGACGTGAACCGTGCTTCCAGGGGGGAGGGGGAGGGGAGCAAAAACCGAGGGAGGGAGCCAACGTTTCTGAGCACCTACTGTGCGTCAGGCCGTGAAGGGGCATCATCGCAAGGACTCTCCCCACTCCTGGAGACTCATCAGCAGCCTCACAGCCTCTGCCCTACTTCAGGCCTCGTTCTGTCTCGTCTTGACAATTGCAAAAACCTCCCCACAGCCCTTTTCTCTTCAGTGATGCACTCAGCAGCCACATTGATCCAAGTCCAGATGTAATCCTGTTTGCCTTCTCAAAAACCTTCCCTAGTTCCCTTCTGCCTGCTAATTAAAAGCCTTAATGTAGTGTTCGATCTAGGCCTTACATGCCTAATCTAGTCCCAACATCCCTTTCCAGCTTTATCTTCCATTCCTCTCCATGGTTTACTCTTTTCTGTGCTGTGAAAGCTTCGCCCTATCTCCTTATTTCCTCTTTCTCTTGTGACCGCAGTTTTTCTGAGCCCACAATTATAATTATTTGTGCTTGATCTTACCTCTCCTAAGCATTTTGAGGGACAGGTGTGGGTCTGGGTCCTCTCAGGTATATGCCAGATAATTGAAGTAATACATTACACAATGGGCTAATATAAGAAGATATAATAGAAATAGTAAATAGTAGGTGTTCTATATAGAGACAGTATAATGTAGTGGTTAACACAGGCCTGGAAATCAGACAGACCCGAGTGAGAAACATGGCTTTAATACTTCCTAACCCCATCGCTGCTTGGCCTTTTGGCCAAGTGTAGTATCTGTTCTTACCAGCGTGATGCTTTATAACCTTAAGCAAGTGGCTTAAGTTCTTGGAATTTCCATGTCTGTAAAATGGGAGTCGTGGTAGCATCGTATCATAGGATCGTTTGCAAGGATTCGGTGATGGGTAGTTCAGTGACCGGCACGTATTAAGGGCACGTTGACAGGAAGTTACCATTGTTGATGAGAGGCAGCAATAATAAGTATTTCAGAAGTTCAGAGGAGAGAGGGAGAGACATCCTTGTTGACTACAGATCGCCAAGGAAGCCTTCCTGGGGAAGGTGCCATCAAAGATAGGAGCTGAGCCAAAGGGCAGGGTCTACTACTCCCTTTTGTCTCCCCAGGTTTAGGGAGTGAGAATGTGGAGATTTCTCAGCCGGATGAGTTTGAACATCCCCCCCAGGAGGATGACTTGGGGTTCAAGGAAGAGGAAGATCCGGCTCCAGGTCATGAAGTAGGAAATGCCTCTCTCAAACCTGAAGGCATCCAGACCTGGGATGACTTGTGGGTCCAGAGAGAGGGACCGGGAAAACCTCAGGCTCGGGACAGAGGTCCCCGGCTCCTGGGAGAGCCACGCTGGGGCCAGGCTAGCGATCGGGCTGCCGTGTGTGGTGAGTGTGGCAAGAGCTTTCGGCAGATGTCAGATCTGGTGAAACACCAGCGGACCCACACAGGGGAGAAACCCTACAAGTGTGGGGTCTGCGGCAAGGGCTTTGGGGATAGCTCTGCCCGTATCAAACACCAGCGAACTCATAGTGGTGAAAAGCCCTACAGAGCCCGACCACCAGCCCAGGGTCCCCCAAAGATTCCTCGGTCCAGGATCCCGGCTGGTGAGCGCCCCACTATCTGCGGTGAATGTGGCAAGAGCTTCCGGCAGAGTTCTGACCTGGTGAAACACCAGCGGACACACACGGGTGAGAAGCCCTACAAATGTGGCATCTGCGGCAAGGGCTTTGGTGACAGTTCTGCTCGTATAAAGCACCAGCGGACACACCGGGGGGAGCAGCCACCCCGGCCCGTGGTGCCCAGACGGCAGCCTTCTCGAGCAGCCACGGCAGCCCCACAGGGACCCAAGGCCCAGGACAAGCCATATATCTGCACCGATTGTGGCAAAAGATTTGTGCTCAGCTGCAGCCTTCTGAGCCACCAGCGCAGTCACCTGGGGCCCAAACCTTTTGGCTGTGATGTGTGTGGAAAGGAGTTTGCCCGGGGCTCAGACCTGGTGAAGCACCTGCGGGTGCACACGGGAGAGAAGCCCTACCTGTGCCCTGAGTGTGGCAAGGGCTTTGCCGACAGCTCTGCCCGGGTCAAACACCTCCGCACCCACAGTGGGGAGAGGCCTCACGCCTGTCCGGAATGTGACCGCACCTTCAGCCTCAGCTCCACCCTCCTCCGCCACCGCCTCACTCACATGGAGCCCCAGGACTTCAGCTTCCCAGGCTACCCTTTGGCCCCCCTGATCCCCAGCCCACCCCCCAGCTCAAGCCCACCCCCACCTCCTCTTGGCACAAGCCCCCCACTGACACCTCGAAGCCCTTCACACTCAGGTGATGGGCCTTTTGGCCTGCCTGGCTTGGAGCCAGAGCCTGGGGGCCCACAGGCTGGGGAGCCACCCCCACCACTGGCAGGTGACAAGCCCCACAAGTGCCCTGAGTGTGGCAAGGGCTTCCGCCGAAGCTCGGACCTGGTGAAACACCATCGTGTGCACACAGGGGAGAAACCCTACCTCTGCCCTGAATGCGGCAAGGGTTTTGCTGACAGCTCGGCCCGAGTCAAGCACCTCCGCACCCACCGAGGTGAACGGGCTCGGCCACCACCACCATCCACTCTCCTGAGGCCACATAACCCCCCTGGCCCAGCACCCATGGCCCCTCGACCCCGAGTCCGAGCCCAGCCCTCTGGACCCAGCCAGCCCCATGTGTGTGGCTTCTGTGGGAAGGAGTTTCCCCGGAGCTCAGATCTGGTCAAACATAGGCGAACACACACTGGGGAGAAGCCATATAAGTGTGCAGAGTGTGGCAAAGGTTTTGGTGACAGTTCTGCCCGAATCAAGCACCAGCGTGGGCACTTGGTCCTGAGGCCCTTTGGGACAGGGGATGGTCGGGCAAGGCCCCTCAAAGAGGAGCCGCCAACAGGACTGGAATGATGGGGTCCAGGGAAGGTGGAGGCCCAGGAGACCAAAGGGAGGGTATCGGCTGCTTAAGCAGAGAAGAAAGGGCCGGGGAGGTGGTGGGAGGGAGAAGAAGGGGAAGAAATGGGAGAAAGGAGTGAATAGATAGAAATAGAGATTGGAGACAATGACCTTGAAGCTCAGGAAACTGTCCTGGCTGGGCTCAGTCAGGATCTTGACAGTGTGGTCTATACCCCCAGCTTCTAGAACACTGCCTTGTACTCTGAATAGTGTAGGCACTCAATAAGTACTTGCTGAATGAATAAACTGGCCTTAGCCTGAGGGCCCTTAAAGAACTCTAAATTCCTGCTGCCTCTTAACCTGTTAAGGATTGCTCCTACCCAACCTTGCCCTTAGGAGACCAGCACCCTGGCCAGCACCAAACAGGGTTTGACCTGTGTTTACAACAGTGAGACTAAAGGAGTTTGGGGTGGTAGAGAGGCAGGAGCATCTTGAACCTTCTGACGGGGAGAGTGTTGCTGTGTGGACTCCAGTACGCAGGCTCAGGCCCCTGGACATGGCCTTAGCCAGGAAGGGCGCTCTTGGACAGCCCAGACCCATCTGCCCTGGAGAACCCCAACCTGCCCTGACACCTGGACACTGGCAGAATAGACCAGAGACAGCAGAAGGAGCACTCCTACACTCGATGCCAAGCCCAGGTCCTGGTGGACGTCAGCAGAGACAAACTGGCTGGGAGAAGGGCAGGACTGGAGTGAGGAGAGGCCAGGGAAGCTCCAAGGCAGGACAGCCACATTTCCATGTATCTCCTTGCCAATAAACTTTCTTGTCTGAAGCTTGGACTCTGTGCTTGTGTGTGTGCGCAGGGTGAGGGGTGGAAAAGATGTCAAAGCCCCACCACAGGTGAAGCCATGTGTGACCCTGTGAGGGTCTCTTGTCTTCTTTGAGCCCAGCAAATGAAGAAGTTGGAATAGTCTGCCGCTATCTAGGTGTGACATCTGGTTGAAAAAACAGCCACCAGGTTTGTCAGCTGATGCTCCTGACTGACTTCTGGCTGTCCACGGGCGCCACCTACACCACAACGTCGAGCGCGGCCCCTAAAAGGAAAAACTCGGCGCCACTGGGCGGGCTGGGGTGGGGGTGAGCGGTCCGTGAGCGCCGTTGCTATGGCGACAGGTACCCGGGGAAAGGTGGCCTTCCGTCTAGTACAGGCACAGAAGTCCCCGACACTGATGCTGGGCCTACTGGGAAACCCCACCTCCCTGAAGCCCTTTTTTATTTATCGGCAAACAGGTCATTTGACTGCATAGTCCAAAGAGAGGGCAAAGGGGATGCCTCTTTAGTCCCTGGAAAAAAAACAACCTTATATTCTCAGCGACCCATGCGTCATTAGGAGCAGGACTACAATTCCTAGCTTTTTCCGAGGAGGGCGCCAATGGGGAGGAAAAGAGGAACTGACCTGATTGGCCAGGGACAAAGAAGACGAGGGCAGTTAACCCATCTGAGAAATGAAGTACAAGACCGCTTAGCAACTTCGCGAGTTGGGCGTCTCTGCTATTCTGCGTGGGGGGAATGGTCCCCGGATAGACGCTCTCGCGAGATCGTAACCATCCGCCGGGCTTCCCTAGAAACCAACGAAAGCTTGCTAGAGCGCCCTTCCTCCGGGTCATCCCACCTGGGCCAAGTTGTTAAATACACTCTCGAAACCCTAGAATGCTGCATTCAAGCCTAGGGTTCTTGGAGACTTCGGTCCTTAAGTGCACACACACCCACAGATCTGAATGGAGGTCTCCGGGGGCGTTTGGAAGATCGCCCCTGCTGGGTTCCGTGTTTCCCCTCCCAACCAGTCGACCTCCAAGCCAGCCTGCAGCGAACTTTGTAAAATTACATCTGACTGTGTCGCTCCCCTATTAAAAACCCTGCCGTGTTTCCACATTTCTCTGTAAAACGTAACTCCTTGGCATTCAAGTTGGCTTTCAAGGTCTTCCATTTGTGTGGTTTCCGCCCTGTGCCTCTCAAATACTGCTCCGTTTACATGGAATGCTCATCCCCATCCCCACTCCCTCCCCCTTGTTAACCTCTCCAAGTCAGAACACTTCAAGCATTACTTTCCCCCACAAGCCTTCCCTGAACCTCCAGCCTGGGTTAGAATCTACTTCTTCTCAATACTTAACACCTGCAGAACTTCTTGAGGCTAATTAGTCACTCAACAGCATTACCTACTGTGTGCTGGGTATGGGGGATAGGAGGATGAATAAGACAAAGTCTCTGCCCTCGGTTTCTATGCAGAAGATGGACGTTGGCCAAATAATTCCAAGTGTAGTAAGGACTCTACAGGAAGCAAACACACAGAAGAGAATCCTGCCCGATTCAAAGGCCTCGCCAAAGAAGTGGCAACTAGAAGCTAAGAAAAGGAGTGGGGGATAGGATAGGAGCTGGAGTCTTCTAGGCAGGAAGAAGAGTATGCACCAAGTCTTTGGGCACCCAAGAATTGAAGTAAAGTTCTAGTGAGTCTGAAGGCAAATAGTGGAATGGAGAGGGGTGAGGTGTAAGATGAAGCCTTTTCCAAATTCAGCTTTCTACCCCACCCTCCCCCACCCCCGCCCCGTCCTAACAGCAGCCTGGCACACAATAGGCCTCACTGAATACTTCGGTGAACGGTGTCCTTGAAACATGATGGGCCCTTCATAGGAGTTTACAATCCCATAAACTGCTACTTCCTTGTCAATATGGCAAACTCCCACTCATCTTTGAAGGTCCTTCACATTTTTCTCTTCAGCGAGGGCTGCACCCAATAACCACTCCCTTCCAAGGGGGTTATTCAGTTATTCACTCATCTTACTATGCTGCCGGAACACTTATATACCTATTGTTTTCCCTTTCATATATGTATATGTATATGTATTCATACATATATATATCACAATCTTTTTTTACTAGACTCTAAGATTCTCAAGCACAGAAACTAGATCTGAGTCCTGGTATATGCTTGTACACATTTGTAGAGCAAATGGACAGAAGCCCTCTTTTTCCTTTTTCGCAAGCATCTATTCCAAAGCCTTCCCACAGCAGGAGACCCTGCCAGTGGTGACTTTCACTGTTCCCAGTGGAGTCTCCTCACTGACTGAATCAGGGCAAGCAGGCCTTGCCTTTTGCTAGAAGTGGGGTTCCAGCCATAACCTGGCCCCTCCCTACCTCTTCTCCATCACTCATGTTAGATTTACCCTTTTGCTAACTCACTTGGCTCCAGTCACATAAACCTCTTTCTGTTCCTCAGATATGCCAAGCTTATTCTCACCTTAGGCCTCTACAGTTCTGTCTCGAACACTGTTCCTCCAGATTTTCAAATGGCTAATCCTTTCTCCCCATTCAAGATTCATCTCAAGCATTATTTCCTCAGAGATGCTCCCCCTATCCACATGAAAGAAACCCCCAATCACAGCCACACTCTCTACTAAATTATCTTGTTGACTTACTTGCTTACCATTTTTACACTCTTAAAAGCTCCATAGCAGCCAAGATTTTTGTCCGTTTTGTTCACTACTACATCTCCAATACCCAGAATGGTGCCAGGCATGTAATAGAGCCCAAGAAATACTTGATAAGAGAATGAACACAACCAAAGTGGGTCTTGGTGATCTTGAGTGTGAGTATCCAGGCACACTTTCTCTGAGGAAGAACAAAAGTTTACCAGATGAAATCCCAACTTCCAAATTATGCCCTGGCCTCTGAAGACTGAGACTCAGGTTTGAGTCCTAGCTCTGCCACCAGCTTCCCCACGTAACTTCATTTCTGAAAGATAATTTGGTGAAATCGAAAGGACGTGAGCTTTGGAATCTGGTACTTACCAGCTATGTGACTTTGAGTAAATCATTTAAGTTCTCTAAGCTTTTGTTCTTTCGTTTGTCAGAGGGAGACATTATTATTGATTCCCACTGGACTGATATATAAAGAGACATAAGGATTATAAGCAATTACTGAATGTTAGTTCTCTTTTCTTTCCTTTCTGAATCTTAGTTCCCCCGTTCGTAGAATGGGAGAATTAAGTATCTTTTTCAGAAGTGGGAAATACAGCTCTTCATACAAAATATCTTAGTTTTTAAAATTTTTATTTATTTTTGTATGTAGGCTTCACACCCAGCAGAGAGCTTGAATCGAGACCTTGAGAAGCTGAGATCAAGAGTCGGAGGCCCAACCAACTGAGCCACCCAGGTGCCCCCATAAAATATCTCAATTCTTAAATGTAGCAAATTAAAATGTGTAAAAGACCTGTATTTTTTAAAACTTTTTTTTTTTTTAAAGTAAAAACACCCTGAGAGTCAGACAAGATACTTCTGTGGACTGGGTTTGACCCGTGGGACTACTAATTTCCCACTTAGGCTATTACTTGTCAGGGACGCTATGCGAATTCTTACTGTATAACTTGCGCAAATCGGTTTTATCTCCCTCAAGTTCTGATAGCTGGTCTGTAAAATGGACCCACCTTTGTGCAGATCAAAGATCATGTGTGTAAAACACTTAGCATAATGCTGGCGCATAGTAGGCACGCCACACCCTAAGTGGCTGCGGTAGCTTGGGTGGCTGTTGATTTGCGAAGTACATATTCAAGGGGCAAGACATCCCAGACACCAGGAGACTGGGAGGGCGACGCCGGGAAAGGAGAAAAAATAGGAGAGGAGGAAAAAAGAGGGAAGGGAAGAGGTGAGCAGGCAACCGGGTCCGCCCTCCAGGCGGGGCGCCAGCGAGAGGCCCAGGCCGGGGCGGGAGCGCACGTGGCCTATTTTGGGCGGAGCAGACGCGCTTGGCCGCAGCGGAGATCTCCGAGGCGGCCACAGGAGACGATCCTTGAAGGTAGGTAACAACTGGACTGCGAAGACCTTGGACGCCGGGATGGGGTGGCCAGGGGTTCCTGGGAGTTGGGGTACAGCGGAGGGCGCCAGATCTGGGCTCGCCACCCTCCCGGGGCAGTTCTGGCCGGACGCCTGGGTCCTCTGGGCCCCTCCTCCTCGTGGGCGGGGTTAGGTGACCTGACCAATGACTGGCCGTCTGCGAGGCCCCGCCCCACCCCGCCCCCGGAGCCGCGGCCTCGCAGAGTGCCCAACCGCCCGGCGCCCTGGCCAGGGGCTGTGCGAGCGCCGAATCTACGGCTGGTGAGTGCGCACCCCACCGGGGTCTCCGCCCCGATCCCGCCCCCAGACCATGCCCTAGAGCTCAGGGCCTCTGGCCCAGACGCGGGGGAGTGACTCAGCGTGGGGAGGGTGGCGACTTGCTGGGGCTGGAGATTCGTACTGCACAGGGCCTTGAATGCCGGGATGAGTGGGGAGAACGAGTGTCTTCGGAGCTGGTCCTGGGGCGTGGGGCTGGGCTGGGCTGGGTGGAGGGAAGAGGGCAGACCCAGAGACCAGGGCAGAGCGGGAGAAGCCCAGGCTTCACCGACTTGCTGGGGTCAGGGCCACGGGGCGGGGTGGGAGTGGGTGCAAGTCCTGAGCTTTTGACCCAGCCCCCCACCCCAGAGCACCAAGATGCCTGGTGAACAGCAGACAGAGGAGGAGGAAGAGGAAGAGATGCAAGAGGAGATGGTGCTGCTGGTGAAGGGTGAGGAAGATGAGGGTGAGGAGAAATATGAGGTGGTGAAACTCAAGATCCCCATGGACAACAAGGAGGTAGGTGTCCCACACCAGGGGGCCTGGTTTCTCTTATGTCTGGTCGGGTCCAGCCACCCTCAGACAAACCATCAATCCAGCCTAAACTTTTCTCTGCATCTTAGACCTAGAATCTCAAGTTGGTGGCCCATCCTTCTGCTCTATTGCCCATGCTGCCATCATACAGATGTCACACTTGCTCTGCCAGGCTCTGTGCTGGGTGCTGGACAGGGAATGCTCTCCTTGGTTCCCCCGGTTCCCCGTGGAGCTCGAGGACGAGACGGATTAAACTGACAAGTAACCACACAGCTACAATCCCGTGTGATGGGTGCAGGCACAGGAGGTGTGGAAGTCCAGAGCTGGGAACTTAATGCACACTTAGGGTGAGGAGGGGATGGTTAGGTAGGCAACAGCATTAGGAACACCTGACTCTTAGTAGCATTTGCTATGCACCAGACACTGTTCTAAGTACCGCAAATCTGTACCGTAGTTAGGATTTGTTCCATTTCACAGGTGAGGAAACTGAGGCCCAGGAAACTGGACGGTTTGGTGACTGGCCCAAGGTCTCAAAGTTAGGAAAGGGATGGCTTAGCTGAGGCCAGTGGGGGTCTGAGATTTAAAAGGAATGGCCCCTTACGTGGCCCAGGGGAGTGGGTGGGGCACTGGGAGAAGGGAAGGCACTGGGAGAAGTAGTTCAATCAGGCTGTAGCGTGGATGAGAGCAGAGTGGCTGGCAGCCTGGGGCGGGGGAACCTCTGGTTTTACCCTGAGGGTTTTGAAGGTTTAAAGAAAGGAATTTTTAGGAGATCTCAATATGAGTTAGATTTCCCCGCTGGAGATCCTAACTGCCACCAGGTATATATTTCCACTTCCAGAACCCTAGAACTCTCACCCCAAGCCAAAGGAGCCCTGAGTCCAACTGGAGGGCTCCTGTTGGGCGGGGTTTCTGGGCCCAGGCTCCCTCTCATTTCGTTCTGCTAGGGGCCAGTTCTCTGGGAAAGACAGTTCTGCTGCCCCCTAGTGGGTGTGGTGGGCCTTAGGGGGCGGGGGCTGGCTGCTTTGGCAACTGCTTCCAGTCAAAATAACTGTTTAGTTCCGTTTTCCTCAGGCCTCCTTTGGCCTGTCATCCTAGTTCAGCCTGTGTCTTCTGGCTCTGTGGATCCCCTCATCTCCACCTTTGGCCTATAATTTAAGACCCCAGACTCCAGGGCTTGGTGTAGACTTCCAACTCTATCACTTTCCAGCTGTGTGACCTTGGGCAAGCTTCTTAACCTCTTTGTGGCTCAGTTTCCTCATTTGTAAAAGGGAGATCATAACAGCACTCACTTCCTGAGGTTGTGGGGACTAAGTGAGTTAATACATGTAAAGAGTCAGAACTGTGTCTGGTGCATAATAAACACGACGTAAGTATATGCTGCTGACCTTCATTCTTCTCCCTGGGGTTCAGGACCGGACACTAGGTAATCCTTTTGGAGATGTTTCAAGTCCTTTCTGTCAAAGAACTTTGTGGGCTGAAACCTGGGGCTGGGAGTGGACAGAGAAGCCAACGGAGGCCTAGACAGAGGACGGAGAGCAGACAACTCAAGGCAATGGGGAAGGCTTCAGGGAGATGACTTGGTCCTTCAAGACTTGGTGATTGGAGGAGGAGAAAGGCCTCCCAGAAGGAAATAGCAAACGCAAAGGCTCAGAGGAGAGGAGGCCAGAGAAGTAGGCGGAGCCAAAGTGTAAAAGGCATTGGAAGCCAACATAGAAATTTAGACATAGTCTCAAATCGGAGGAGGGACATGAGTGATTTTCTCTTTAGAAGAAACACTGGCTGCCGTGGGGTACCAAGCCAGGTAAGGCTGGTAGCCTAGTCTAAGGTTTTGACAGCAATGGGGAAAAGAGGGAGAGATGGGGACATTTGTGAATCCTGATTGGACTGGCTGGAGGTAAGGATGAGAATATGGGGAGTGGGCATGTCTAGTCATCAAAGGTATGTAGGGCTAGACTCTAAATGGTATCATGTAGCAGTGAAAAGCATTGGTTCCAATCCTAACTGCCAGTCACCAGCTTTGCCTTGGCTTTCTCGTCTGTATAGAGGAGTCATGAGAGTTAAAATCCTTGACTGCCCACCTGAAAGGTATCATCTGGGTTACTGGATTTGGGGGGGTGGCGGGGGTTGGGATTGAGGATGACACACAGACATCCCACGAACTGTGCCCGCAGCATAGCTCATTAACTTGCTGTGTGGTCTCCCTGAGTCTCAGTTTCTATGAAATAGTGACCTCAAAAGCTCTTCCCAGTGCTAACATTCTGTGACTCTTAGCTATCACCCAGGCTCGTGGCCAGTCATTGTCCAAAATAGGCCTTAATTATGCTGCACTCAGGGCCTGGAGTATCCTGTCACTGCCCATCAAAATCCAATCTATCTTTAATGAATAGAAAAGATTTTCTCAGAGGGCTCTATGCACATCCAATCCTCTCTCTCTTTGCTTAAACCCTTGAGTGGTTTTCTGTTTCCTTCACGATAAAGTCTCAGCTCCCTAAGCCTGGCATTCAGAGCTCCTCGCCATCTGACCTCATGTCCTGGCTTATCTCTAATCACTCAGCTCCTATCCCAAGCCCTGACTTCAAACACACCTGACCCTTTCTCATCTCTAAGACTTTGCCCATATGGTCTTTCAGCCTGTAAACCCCTCTTCACCTTTTCTACCTGTTTTCTTCGGGAGCTGCTCTTGTCTCTTCTAGATCAGATTTCTTAACTTTTAACATGCATACAAATCACCTGGTGATCTTGTTAAAATGGAGATTTTGATTCTGCAGGTCTGGGGTGGGACTTGAGAGTCTGCATTTCCTTCTTTCTGGTTCTTTTTTTTTTTAATATATTATTTTTTAACATTTATTCACTTTTGAGAGAGAGAGACAGAGACAGAGACAGAGTGAGAGCAGGCCAAGGGCAGAGAGAGGGGGTCACAGAGTCCAAAGCAGGCTCCAGACTCTGAGCTGTCAGCCCAAAGCCTGATGTGGGGCTCGAACCCAGGAACTGTGAGATCATGACCTGAGCTGAAGTCAGACACCCAACTGACTGAGCCACCCAGGCACCCCATCTTTTTTTTTTTTTTTTTTTTTTTTTTTTTTTTTTACTCTTTATTTTCAAGAAAGAGACAGACAGAGCATGAGTGGAGGAGGGGCAGAAAGGGAGACACAGAATCCGAAGCAGGCTCCAGGTTCTGAGCTGTCAGCAGAGCCCGACGCAGGGCTCCAACTCAGGATATGTAAGATCATGACCTGAGCCTAAGTCGGGCGATTAACCACCGAGCCACCCAGAGGCCCCAAGATTCTGCGTTTCTAACAAATTCCTAGTGATGCTGATGTTGATCTGTGGACCACAGTTCCTGTAGCTAGGAGCAAGAGGATAGGGTCTTGTTTTATACTTTGTACCAAAAAGAGGGGAGATTCTGATTGCTAAAAGAGTCCAGGGGAGGGAGACAAGCTGTGCAGATGATCTCAAACTTGTCAGTGAGATAGAATGGCATCATGGCAGAGAAGAGGTATTTTGGATGATGACAGGCTTTCAGTTCAAATCCTGGCTCTGCCATTGATTAGCCGTGTGGCCTCGGGTAATCACTTTACTGCCGAGTCTTATTTCCTTACTCAGTAACGGAGCAGATGATACCTAACCCAAAAGGTTGTGAGAGTTTAAAATGAGAACATGGATGAAAAGCACTTAGCACAGTTCCTGGCACATAGTGAACGCTCAGTGAATGGTAGTAGTAGTTGTTGTTGTTGTTGTTGTTGTTGTTAATTAGGAAACTAAAGGCTGAGGAGAATATGAATTTTAAAAAGTGATTAAAAAAAATACTTAAGCAAGGGGGCGCCTGGTGGCTCCGTCAGTTAAGCATCTGACCTCGGCTCAGGTCATGATCTCGCGGCTTGTGGGTTCGAGCCCCACATCGGGTTCTCAGAGCCTGGAGCCTGCTTTGGGTTCTGTGTCTCCCTCTCTTTCTCTGCCCCTCCCCTGCTCACACTCTGTCTGTCTGTCTCTCTCTCAAAAAATAAATAAACATATTAAAAGTTTAAAAAAAAATACTTAAGCAGGAAGACAAAAATCACAAACTTCAGCTACGTGGATTTTCATATTATTATATTTGTCTCCTCATAGTACCCTCTTGTTAGAGTACAAATGCCATTCTAATGTCTAAGTCTACTAGTTGCAGAATTAAAGGCATGGAAGGACCTTTAATGATCCCCTAGTCTGGTACTGGCCAAGCCTCAGTGACCTGTGTGTCACTCACCTGTTGTGCTCATTTATGTTCTCTTTTCTTCCGATAGATTCACATCATTTTGTTAAATAAATCTGCCTTCATCTAAACAATAATGCTGATGGAATCGTGGATTTCATGTGATCTACTGTTTTTCTAATGTCCATGAAAATAAATACACAATGGTTATAAGATAGTTTCCCTACATAACACCTAGAGTACTCTTGCATGTACGGGGTGTGCATCCCTCAAGTTGGGAAATTTTTATCTCACCTAGCCTATCCCGCCTTCCTTGGGACACTGAGGCAGGGGAAGGAAGTGACTTGCTTGGGGTCTTAATGAGCTAGACCCTACCTGTCTTACCAAGATTCTTCCTGGAGGGCTCCTGGCTGGCTCTGTCAGTAGAGCATGTGACTCTTGATCTCAGGGTCATGAGTTTGAGGCCCCCGTTGGATGTAGAGATTACTTAAAAAAAAGAAAAGAAAAAAAATTCTTTCTGGGGCCCTGAGTCCTTAAGCTGGCAATACTAAGGTTACTCATGTGAAGATTTCCTTTCACCTGAGTCAGTGAGCCCAGCATAAGAAAGCCCTCAGGCTGGTCAGTCATCTTATAGAAGGGTGCCAAAGAAAAAATGGGCCCCCAAAATGTAAATATAATGAGAAAAATTCTCTCCACAATGGCCGACATGTTTAAACAAACACAACAGATGTCAAAACCAGGGCAAGACTGGAAAGTATGACCTTGAATTCAGACTGTGCCAAATCTGCTGTGCGGAGTTTCTTGATTTAAAGTATCAAGTTGTATTTTAACCTCGAATCCCTCTTGGAGAGCACCAGAGGCTTGGAGTCCAGCCTCTGTCACGTCTTGGCTGTTCTAGTACAGGGAAGCAATGTAGCCTACTGGTTAAGGGCGAGTGCTCTACAGTCGGTCCTGACTCCCTCTGGCTTTGTGAATCTGATCTCAATGAGCCTCTGTTTTCTCAACTATCAAAAGATAACACCCAATTCAAGGGGATGACAGGAAGACTTAATACAATAATGTACATAAAGTAGCACTGTCAAAGCCTTAACTGTATCGCTATCACTGTTATCATTATATGTACGTTTAAACCAGAATTCCCATGGCTGATCATTAATTTCCCAAACTGCCTTGTTTTCCAGTTTCTGAGTTGGTTACAGAAAAGCCACTGACTATTTACAAAGGATCTTGAAGGACCTGAAGTTGCTATCCTTGCACTTCAGAAAGAAAAGAGCCTCACTGTTCTTGTCACTCACCCTTTTAAGAGAGTTTCTTTATCTATAAAGTGAGAATAGTAGTAACTACTTTGTGGAGATTGAATATGGGGAGCAGCTAACACTTTCTTGTCCTTAATATGTGCCAGGTATTTCATTTGGTCATGAATTAATGTGTCTGTTTGGTTCATGGTAGGTGCTCAATACCACTTCTGCTGGGGTGAGCATTCTCTTTTCTTTTTTAATTTTTTTTAATGTTTTACTTATTTTTGAGACAGAGACAGAGCATGAGCAGGGGAGGGGCACAGAGAGAGGGAGACACAGAATCTGAAGCAGACTCCAGGCTCTGAGCTGTCACCACAGGGCCCGACGCGGGGCTCAAACTCACAAGCCGCGAGATCATGACCTGACCCGAAGTCAGACGCTTAACCGACTGAGCCACCCAGGTGCCCCACATTCTCTTTTCTAAGGAGGAAATAATGTGCCCCCAGTATTCCCCTTCATTCCGCTGTTAGTAAAAAGTTTTCTCTTCACCTGCCTCTTACAAAGCATTTCTTCTGATTTTATCTCTGGAGGCTCAGACCTCATGAAACTGGCTCATTTTCAAAACTTTCCATTTCAGGCCTTGCCTTCACAACTTAAAAAATGATAGGTGCTTGCTCTGAAAAGTTTATTAAAGAGCCTGGACTTGGTCCTGGCCTGGCTTCTAAGACACCATACCATGCCTTCCTGGCTCTCCTGCCTCACTGACTGCTCCCGTTCAGCCTTCTTTGCTAGCTGATCACCTTGCTGCCCCAGGTTCTCTCTCCGCATTCCTGGGGTGATCTCATCCAGACTCAGCTTTAAAAACCATCTATAGGCTGCCGGCTTCCCAATTAACATCTCCAAGCATAGGCTTCTTTCTTGAGCTCCAGATGTGTCAAGGAGAACCGCAGATATGCTCCAGAACAGATTTCACCTACCGCCTTGCTCCTACCGCCCTCATCTCTGTAGGTGGCCATCCCACTTTTGCAGTGGCCAAACTCAAAATCTGGGCGGAGTCATTTTGACCCCTCTCTTTCATTATACCTCAGAGCCAATCTATTGTCAAATCTGTGGTCTTCAACTACAGGATATACCCAGAAGCAGGCCACTTCCACTTTCCACCTGTCACCTGGGTGTGAGCCACCGTCTTCAGAGACGGCTGCAGTATAGCGGTCTCCTCTCTGGGCTCCTGCTTCTGCCCTCTCCCTTCCTTGCTTCTGTTCTCAACCCCAGCAACCTGAGTCTGATCTGTTCAGGTCCCTGCTCCCAATCATCTGACATCTCCTCTTTTGGTTCCCCATCTCATTCATATCACTTGACCCTAAGCTGAGAGAGTCCCAGCAAGACCATCCCATTCATCACTCTCCCCCTCAAGCATTCTGCCCTAGGCACTTTTTCTTGCCCTTCGTGGAACTCAACAGGCAGACCCCCTGCAGGGCCTTGCTTCCTTGTGTAGCCTGTTCTCTCACCTTCTTTAGGTCCCTCTGCTCACGTTTTATCAGTAAGGTTTCTTAACAATCCTATTTAAATGAAGCCTCCCCCTCCCTGCCCCAATGCCAGCAACTTCTTATCTATTCTCCCTGTAGCGGGACTTTTTAAATTTTAATGTTGAATCCCCAGTGCCTAAACATAGTCCGGCATATCTTGCGCACTCAATAAATATTTGTCGAATTAATAACAAAGAGCTTGAGTATCACTAGGCCTTGTGATACGTGCGTTAACATACTGTCTCATTTAAAGCGCACAACCGTCCCGAGGCGGGCACCGTTGCTTTCTCAGTTTTACAACAGGGAACTGAAAGGCTGCGGCTTGCGGAGACCCGGGTCTCCGGCTCCCGCCGCCCGCAGTCAGGGCTGACGTCTCCCCCCCCTCCCCCCCCTTCTCCCCGCAGGTCCCGAGCGAGGCGCCAGCGCCGTCGGCCGACCCGGCGCGCCCACACGCGTGCCCGGACTGCGGCCGCGCCTTCGCGCGCCGCTCCACGCTGGCGAAGCACGCACGCACGCACACGGGCGAGCGGCCCTTCGCGTGCACCGAGTGCGGCCGGCGCTTCTCACAGAAGTCGGCACTGACCAAACACGGCCGCACGCACACGGGCGAGCGGCCCTACGAGTGCCCCGAGTGCGACAAGCGCTTCTCGGCCGCCTCGAACCTGCGGCAGCATCGGCGGCGCCACACCGGCGAGAAGCCGTACGCATGCGCGCACTGCGGACGCCGCTTCGCGCAGAGCTCCAACTACGCACAGCACCTGCGCGTGCACACGGGCGAGAAGCCGTACGCGTGCCCGGACTGCGGACGCGCCTTCGGCGGCAGCTCGTGCCTGGCGCGCCACCGACGCACGCACACGGGCGAGAGGCCGTACGCCTGCGCCGACTGCGGCACGCGCTTCGCTCAGAGTTCGGCTCTGGCCAAGCACCGACGCGTGCACACCGGCGAGAAGCCGCACCGGTGCGCCGTCTGCGGCCGCCGCTTCGGCCACCGCTCCAACCTGGCGGAGCATGCGCGCACGCACACAGGGGAGCGGCCCTACCCGTGCGCCGAATGCGGCCGGCGCTTCCGCCTCAGCTCGCACTTCATCCGTCACCGTCGCGCGCACATGCGGCGTCGTCTCTATATCTGCGCTGGTTGCGGCCGGGACTTCAAGCTACCCCCTGGCGCCACGGCCGCCACTGCCACCGAGCGCTGCCCAGACTGCGAGGGCAGCTGAGCCGCCGTTCTCGTCCCTGTGGGGCCGCTCGCGTCCGGCTGGGGGCAGGGACACGCTGGGACCCCTACCTGGGGCTGCATTACCCTGGATCTCCCCGCCCCACTGGGAAAGGGGTGGGACAGCAGGCCTGACTGCCTTGGAACTGGGAGGCCGGGAGAACGCCCTACTGCGATCCCAGGAAGCAGTGCCCACTCCCTCTCACTACAACCCCTTGGCCCGTGTTAGTGAATAAAGTATTAAATCCTCACCCCACCCGTGCCTGTGAGTGAGGTGAGGGAGGGGAGGAGGAAAGTTGGGGTTTTCCCCAGGCTTGAGTGATATGAATGAGTTACCATGGAGCCAAGTGAGGCTATAAGCCCAAAAGGATTTCTTGCACCGGCTTTACGTGGGGGGATTGGCCCTTGATTGTCCTCATAACTTCAGGTCTGGAAGGGTGCACAAATCCTGCACATTCTGATCAAACAGCCACTGCATTCGTTGGTGAGCAGGCATGAGCTTCAGTCTAGGAGAGATCGGCTGATTTCATTTCTTAGCTTGGATGACGGGCAGAGTCAGAGATGAGGGCACAGGATGAGGAGCAGGGCAGGAATTGTGGTGACAATGGTTACGCCCCAGTCTGGACATGTTGAGGGTGAAGTGAACGCAGAGGGGTCAGAGAGGTGATTGGAAATAGTAGTTTGGGGATATCAGGTCTGGAGTGGATGAGAGGGCACCCAAGAAGAGTTCATGAAAGGGCAGCCACAGCTAGAAAGAAAACCAGAAGTGTCTCGTCTGGAAAATCTAGAGGAAAGTGTTTCATGGAGGGAGTGGTCAGCTCTCTTAGATGCTGTATTTGTAGCTCCGGGAAAGTGGTGAGAAGACGCGTGGGGGTGAAAGCCATCCTTGAGTGGGTTAGAGTATAAATAGGAGAATGAGGAAGCCCAGCGGATGGGTGTAGACAATCCATTTTAAGAGTCTTGGCTGTGACAAGCAAGAGCGCAGTGGCTGGAGATTTGTTGGGGTTTTGTCAATAGGAAAGAGACTCGATGATGCTTTATATCTGCTAGTGGAAAGGAAGGGAAGTTGCTTACATAGAGGAGATAGGAAAGAACTCACCATGGAGAGGGTATGTGATAAGAGATCAATCAGTAAGGATGAGAGTCCAGCTGTCACTGGTAGGGAGGAAAGGTGGGTTTGGGAACACAAAGCTGAAGCGGTTCCAATCTGGATTGTGTTTTACCTGGCAAGTAAGAGGTCACTGGTTAAAGGAGTGAGGTCATCAGTAAAAGGAATGCCTTATTTTGCTGATGTGGAAATGGCTCGTAGGGGCAGCAAAAATAGTTTAAAAGTTTTTTTTTCCCCAGCATTACTCTGCACTGTGAGGGAGACAGGCTGTGGGTATCCCAGAAAGGGAAGTGATGTGCCCGAGGTCACACAACGGGTAAATCATACACACCCAACACTATCTTTAGGTATACAAGTGGAAATTGGCCTTAGGAGGATGGGAGGAGGCAAGAGACCCTCTCCAAGAGGAGGGGGAATCCCTGTGATGGGGGCCCACAAAGAGGGGCATTCGGCTCTCACAGGGCTGGGGTCCTGATGGACAGGGATGGGTTTTAGGCCCAGCTCCAACTTAACCGTTGACATTTCCTGCTCTGGGGGCCTGAAAATTCTGAGTTGAAAAAGCAAACAGGTAACTGCAGACTTGGAAAGTCCCTGCTATGTGCCAGGCACTGTCCTAAGCACTCTACTTAAAATAGCTTACTTAAACCTTACAGCCCGATGAGATAGATCTCATTATTTTCATTTTAGATGAGGAAACCAAGGTGCAGAAAGATGAAGTACTTTGATGAATGTCATCCAGCTCATAACTATCAAAGATGGCATCTGAACCCAGACAGCCTAGCTCCAGAATCTGGGCTCTTAACCAACTCTACATACAGCCTCCAATCCCCTTTAGATGCCCAGACAGGGTCAGGGAATTGCATGACATCAGTGATCTTGGTAGAAAGCAGATCTTTCTGCCCTATAGGTGGGAGGTACACTAAAGAAACATGGGAGCTGGGCTCAGAGACATCCCTGGTGCCCTTCTCCAGTACTTGCTGGGATAGAGCCTTCCCAGTTATTCCAGAAAGAATCTAGAAGTTGCTAACCAAAACTTTTATTGAGAGAGAAAATTCCAGGAGGCTATCTTCTGGAGGTTCTCGGGCCTCAGGCCTTAGGAAGTAGGGCCCCTTGGCCCATGACCTATTAGGAAAGGACTAGAAAAAGTTCCGTGACCAGGCCACTCTCTGCTTCTCAGATGCCATGCCGAGTTGCAGGTCTTGTGCGCATGGTTCTAGGTTGAGGCCTGGCCTGTGGACTCACAGGCAAGGTCTGCAGGCCCCCCAGCTTGGTCTTCAGAGGTGGCCCCATGGGGTAAGTCTGTATACTTGAGGGCAGAGCCACGGGACAGATGTGCTGGGTAGCGCTGTCGGTTGATGTCCATCTTGGAGAGCACCGCTTGGGGCAGATCCACGTGGCAGCGTGCTGCTAGTGCCACCAGGTAGATGAGGACATCACTAAGCTCCTCTTGAAGGGCTGCCCGTTCCCTGGGGGGCCAGGCTTGGGGGCCAGGCTCCTCATCAGGTTTCCACTGACTGGAGGCAGAACACACAGGCACAAACACAGATGCTAAGACCACAGACTCCGCCTCTCTTGGGAGCAGCCTAGTCCTTGCAGCAAGGAAGGCCCACCTCTTAGGAAGTTCCTACAAGGACAACTCAACCCACCTGCACCCTAGGCAGAGTCAGGGTGGGGAAGAGACCCCGACAGATGACTCATCCAGACCTGTGTGCCCCAACCCAAGCCAAGGAGTGGTCAAGAGAACATTTCACTTGCTAAGACCCAATTGTACTCTCTCCAGCCCTAGCCACTGCCACTCCAGACTAATTCTCAGACCTGCGAAAGCTTGCTAGCTCATCTTCTACTCTTGCTCAGTACCATCTTTCATAAGCAGAAATTACACTTTGTCCCTCCCCTGCTACAATTTCCTCCAACCGGGCTTAAAATAAAATCCAAAAGCCTGACCATGCCCTTTAGATCCTGTATGAGCTGTCTCCTGCCTCTTCCAAAGTCATTATCCACCACTCTCCCTCCTGCCCCCCACCTAAAGCCACTCTGGCCCGTCCTGTCTGGCAAACCGGCCATATTGTCACAGGGCCTTTGCACTTACTGCCTCCTCTGCGTTAAATGCTCTTCTCCCTGCTCCCCCACCAGATCCTTCCTGTGGCTGGCTCCTTCCTGAGGTCTCAGCACAGATGTCATCTGCTCAGAAAAGCCTTCTCCTTGTTACTTTCTTTTTCATCACTTTGGGTTGTTCTCCCCATAGAACTTTATCACAATTCCTGGTCTTTTAAAATTAGTTTGCTTATTTATTGTTAGTCTCCTTGCACTCTGAAGACAGGAACCATGTCTATTTTTTTTTTGTTTGTTTGTTTTTGTTAATCCCCAAGATTTTAAGTCATCTCTATATCCAACATTGGGCTTGAACTCACAACCCTGAGATCAAGAGTTGCATGCTCCACTGACTGAGGCACCCAGGCACCCCAGGAACCATGTCTATCTTGTTGAAGGCTATATCTCTTAATTCTAGAAGACCTAGCACATAGCTGATGCTCACAAAACCGCAATAAATGAATGGTTTGCCCTTACATCTCTGTGCTCTGGTTTCTCCATTCCCAAAGTTCAGGCCTTGATTTAGGCCTTCCCACCTCTTTGAGGGATCTGTATCAGCCTCCTCACAGGTCTCCCCTGCCCTGATTCTCTTGGTGACCCAATCCACCCTGCAGACACAGTGATCTTTCTACCCTTCAAATCTGTCAGGTCTTCTGTTCAAACTCCATCACTTCCTAACTCCAACTTTGTCACTCTGGGTTCATATGCCACCTCTCTCTTCCACGGCCCGCCACTCATTCTGTTATGTGTGAGGCACTCGGGACATACTAGACAACGAAACAGATACAAAATCCTGCTCTCTCTTGAAAAGCTTACCCTGGAGGAGTCTCAGGATCTTCCTGAATGGGGTGCCTGGGTGGTTCAGTCAGTTGAGCATCTGACTCTTGATTGGCTCAGGTCATGATCCAAGGGTCGTGGAATCAATCCCTGTGTCCAACTCTGCACTGAGCATGGAGCCTGCTTAAGACTCTCCCTCTCTCTCTCTCTCTCTCTCTCTCTCTCTCTGTCTCCTCCTCTGCCCCTCTCCCCTGCTTGAGCTCTCTTTAAAACAACAACAAAACAAAAAACTCCCTTAATTTAACTTGCCCTTTCCCACTCACTACCTTGGGAAAGGATTCTTCGGTCTGGAAGGCCACAGGCAGGTCTCCTAAAGAATACTCTCCTTTCCACCCCAGAGGCAGAGGTCAAGGTAGGCTGTCACCATCCCTTCTTAAGACCTGGACCTGCCTTGCTGTTTCCACACCTTTCTTTCCCAGAAGAATGGATGCCCCAAGAGGGCAGGGACAGGTGAGTCATTTCTGTATCCCCAGACACAGCCTGGCATGGATATTTAATGATCAGATAAATGTTCCCCTCCCCCACAACACAGACTCTTCCAAAAAGACTTCCATCTACTCACAAGAGCTCTGCCAGTTCCCCCACTTCCCCCACCAAGGCCAGTAGGAGGTTCCGAGGCTGGTGGAACTGGCCCCAGTCTCGTTCAGCAGCAAATTCAGCATGGAGGCGGCGGCTGGAACAGAAGAAAGGAGTAGAAGCCCAGGTCCCAGGGTTAGAGAATGCGGACGACCAGGCAGGTATCTCAGTGATACCTAGTGGGGGCATTAGTTCCGCACCTAATTCTTTGGATGGCCTTAAGCAAACCGTTTCTTCTCTATGGGACTTGGACTCCGCATCTCTAAAGTGGGTGCGCCCTACTCAGACCCTGAACTCTATCAAAACCTAACAATACTGTCTTTTCCATTATTCCACCTCTTGATGCTGCTTCCGCTGATTTTACAAAGTGCAGCTCCAGGAACATTTCCCCTAAGAAGCCCTCCTTGATTTCCTCTAGTAAAAAATAATGTCACCCACCTCTCAGCACTGCTTTTGCCCCCATCCTACCACCCACTCCTGGAGGGCAGGGGCCGGGCGGAAGCAGCACCGGAATAGCCATATTTCCCCAAGGCTGGTTCTAATATCACTCACCGGGCATCACCATTTCCCCTGCCTCAGGTGTGCATCACTAAGCCCATTTCGCAGATAAGGAGGTTAACATGGCTCGCCCAGGACAGCCAGCCGATCTGGGCCCCCCAGCATAGCCTTCTTCCAGACCACGTGGAGTGACCCGTCCCAATAGGAGGGAAAAAGGGGGAGACCTCCCCAGGCTGGGGCAAGGACGGCTTACATGTCCTCAAGCGTGGGCTCCGGGCTGAAGCTGAAGGGGCCGGCAGCAGCAGTGCCGTCTCCCCCCGTGTCCCCACGCGCGACCCCATTTGGCCGAGACATGCCACCCACCACACAGCAGCCGGGATGCGCTAGAAAACACCGCGCCAAGCTCAGAACCTGCCTCCAGGACCCCCGACCAATCACAGGCGTTCACGACTACTTCCCGGGGCGGAGCCACGGGAAAGACCAATTACTTGTGTGGAATTTACACTCGCCTCTTGCCCCAGTCCCTAGATTCCTGAGACTTGGCCTGGCATCTTAAAGGTATAGGGACCAGATTTGCCCGGGAAGAGACAACGGTCAGAAGGCGAGGAGAGCGCAGGCGCGTCATTTCTCTCGTGGGCGCCAGATGGCGCCAAAGAGAAAGGATGGGGCCGAGGTGAGGCTGGGACGCCCAGGGGAAAACCCCAGAAATGGAGAGTTTAAACAAGAAAGGGGAATTTATTATAAGGATACAAGAATGTCACCAGGATACAGGAACTAGGTAGGGTAGCCGTTCTAAGCATTTTACATATTTAATCTTCATAACAACCTTATAAGGTAATAGCATCGTCATCCCCATTTTACAGGTAAAGAAACAGAAATTAATTTTTTAAAGTTTATTTTTAAGAAAGAGAGAGAGCACAAACAGGGGAGGGGCAGAGAGAGAGGGGAGACAGAGAATCCCAAGCAGGCTCTGCACACTGACAGTGCAGAGCCCCATCCAGGACTCAAACCTATTAACCGTGAGATTGTGACCTGAAACGAAATTAAGAGTCCCAGGCTTAACCCACTGAGCCACCCAGGTGCCCGGAGAGATGGAGTAATTTAACTCCGCAGCTAATAATGTGGTAGCCAGGTTCCAAATCCAGGCAATTTGGTTTTAGAGTCTGTTTTATTAACCTCTACACTATATTGCCTCAAATGATAAGTACTATGAAAAATAAAAGTATTGGGGCGCCTGGGTGGCTCAGTCAGTTAAAAGCCCGACTTCAGCTCACAGTCCGTGAGTTCGAGCCCCGCATCGGGCTCTGTGCTGACAGCTCAGAGCCTGGAGCCTGCTTCAGATTCTGTGTCTCCCTCTCTTTCTGCCCCTCCCCTGCTCATGCTCTGCCTCTCTCTGTCTCAAAAATAAATAAAAACATTTTTTAAAAGCTATTAAAAAAATAAGAAGAAAAGTATTTAAACACTATGGAAGTGGGAGTAACTTTAGATTGCATGGTCCAGGGATGAGGCGGTAAGCGCTGTTGGTTACCAGCTCAATTTCACTTTCCCCTTCTCCATGCTTGCACAACTGTGGTTTTATTCTCGGGTTCACCCTCCTCTACTTGATTGATCATGTCCCATTGCCCTGGCCTGATCAGTTTATGGGTGAGCATGTGGCCTAGATCTTGACAATGAGAAGTTAGAGCAAGTCTGCTGGAGACTCCTGGGAAAGATTCTCAGTTCTTTTGTTTAAAAAAGCACAGGATGTTTCTGCCTTTAGATGTTAGTATGTGAAGGAATCTTTGTGTGGAGAGCTAGCCCACAAACGGGGATTGGCAGATAGGAAGATAGAAAGGACCTAGATCCTTGATAAAATTGTGGGGACACTTATTTTTACAAGTTCCAGAAAAGTCCTAATTCAGGACGCTGGTTATATAAGAAAATAAATCATTTTATTAATCAAACCACTTTTAGTTGGGTTTTCTGTTACTTGTCATTAAGAAAGTGACTTTTAATCTGAGTAAAAATCAAGGGGAATAGAGTTCTAGATAGAGGGAACACCAATGCTTAAAGCAGAAAAATCTTTGCATGTTCTAAAGACAAAAAGAATTCCAGTGTAGCAGGAATGTGGTGAGCAAGGAAGAGTGGTTGGATATGGTATTAGGGAAGTGACAAGAGGCTAGATCAGATCAACCAACCATGAATTTTATCCTATATTTGATTTGGAATTTTAAGTATTATGGAAACCCTTTGGAGGGTTTTGGCAGGGGGGTTATATGATGTTGACTCTGGGCCAGGTTGATAGTGAGTCAAGATGGAGAGAAGTGGATGTATTGGGGAGATATTTTTGGAGGTAGATCTATAGCCTTTGTTGATTTTGAATTAAGAGTCATGGGAGAAAGGGTAGAGGCAAGTGTGGCTTACAGGTTTTGAGTGTTGAGCAACATGGTGGATGGACGGTGACTCATACTGGGATGAGGAAGGTAAGGAACACATGTGGCATCAGGAGTTTGGTTTAAAGCAAAGCAAGGTGAAGCTACATATCAATTTGACAGGTGGATTTGTGAGCCTAAGTTTTAGAGGAGAGATCAGGGCTCAGACTCAGATTTGGTAGTCTCAGTCATTAGATAGCACTTAAAGTCATGGGCCTGAAGAGGAATAATTAATACAAGAGTCTAGATAGACAAGACTGAGATTTGGGGTACTTCTGCATTTAGCAGTTGGGCAAAAGAGAAAAAGCAGGTGAGACAGGAGGAAAATCAAGAGAGTGTGGTGTTAGGGAGGCCAAGAGAGGAGAGTGTTCCAGAATGAGTAAATATCTGATTTGGATGCTACTAAGCCGCTGGATAAGATGAGAGCACAGAAGTTGCTGATGGATGAGGCAACACAGAAGTTGGATATAGGAGCTGGGAGGAAAGAGGAAGTTCTGGGTTACTCCTGGGTTTCTGGCTTGAGTAAATAGATGGTTAGTTTTGCCATTTGCTGGAATGAGGACACAGAAGACCCAGGAGTTGGGGTGGAAAGGAAGATAATGAAATCAGTTTGGAGCATGTTCAGGTCAAGATGGCTCTAGAACATCGGGATGATGTCCAGTAGGCAGGTGGCCATACAGGTCTGAAGTTCAGAACATTGAGCTGCCTGTGGACCTGGGAACTGAAAGTACCTTCCCTAGCACCTACCCTGATGTTCGCTAAGCTTCTCTGCACAAGAACCCAAAGTCTTTTACTGGAATATAAAACATAGCTTTCTTAGGAGTCCTCTGCATCTCAGATTTTTGAAGAATCAGGGACCAGAACCTCTAGAGCTCACAGGTCAGATGGTCCTAGGTGATTGACAGGAAGGAGGAGGCACTTTTTGTGGGAGGCACAGTGTTGGAGGGGTGGGGAAGGCCCTCATGCAGGAGAGGGAACAGACGCGAACATATCATTGGTCCCCTGATCTGGACCCCTCATCGAAACTCTTTCTGCACCCTCACCCCCATGTTAATTCACCTTTCTCCATTCTCCTCCGACACATCTTAGCAACCCAACCTCCCTGCTTTCATCAGGGCCTCAGTGTGCGTGGTCTTGGCTTTTGGTTCATGTTTGTGATTAGCCTTTCATGAGCCTATCTCTCCAGGGACTGGGTGCCCTAGTCTTCAAACCAAAGGTGTTTTCTCAGTGTAGGCCAATAAATGTTTGATGACAGGATGGGCAGGCTGGGACAAGCAAGCATTCACATGCACATGCCGCCCTTCTGCTACTCAAGAGTTTGGCCGCCTTCCCCACTACAGCCAAGCCGGTGCAACTGGTCCCAGTAAGGCTTTTGAGAAACCCTGGAGTGGAGGAGATGACAGTGACTGGAGAACAAAATAGCAGAGACCCATGGTGGTGTTGGGGTGGGGGAACCTGGACTACTGAGGTCCCAGAGACAATAGAGTATCATGGCAAACCAAGAGTCAGGTGATTGGGAAGATTGTTTCTCTTCTCTGAGCTTCGATTTCTCTACCTATGTAATGGGGCTCTGGCCTAGGGGGCCTCCAAGGACCCTTCACGTGTGTGCTGGGAGGACAGGGACAATGTGTTTTTCTGTCTGTACCGCAGTGCTGTTCTTATTGGAAGTAGAGCCATAGACCTTGTTGGTTTTGGACTGGGGGGTGGCAGTGCTGCTACAAGTATTTGCTCTTATTAAAATTTTCAGCGGGGAGTCATGACAGAGGCTTTGAGAAATCTGTAGACTAGCCCATTCAGGCCAAGGAATCCCCACCACCTTCAGAAGTCCTTCCTGGAGCATCTGGCTGGTTCAGTGGGTAGAGCATGTGACTCCTGCTCTAAGGGTAATGAGTTCAATTGATTTTGGGGTGATGGATATCCCTGTTCTAGATCTCCTTTTAGACTGAGTCTCCTGGAGAACAGAAGCATTGTCAGGCTTTTATTTCTCCAGGGCCTGGTACTTGAATAGATCTAATAAACACTAATTCACAGGAGCACATCTTATGGGATCTCCTCCATGACTTCCTCGCTGTAGGTGGATATGGCTATGCCTATTTTACAGGTGAAGAGACTGAGGCCCAGAGACTTATCTAAGATCACCCAGGAAGGTGAAGGCTGAAATTCACCAGCATCACCCCGCCCCAGCGCTTCTTAGCAGGTGAAGGTAGTCTCCCTACCCCCCTGCAAGGGAGTAAAAGAGGCAGCTCCATATGCTTGGTATGTGCTGAGGTCACCTTGCCTTTTCTTCTGCCCTTCTGTCCTATCTTTTCATCTTCTTTCTTTTCTTCTAGCTTCAACTTCCTCTCCTTTTTTTTTTTTTGTGTTGGTTTCCTTTCTCTTTTCTTCCATACCTCTTTTCTTTTCTTCCTTACCTCTGTACCTGTGATTCCGTTATGATTTCTCTCCAAGGCCCTGTCCCCCACCCCACCTGCTGCCCAGCTCCTCCCCAAGGAGAAGTTGGATGCCTATCTTGCTCTCCACCCCTAACCCTTTCTAGGTTAACTAAGAGAACTGAGGCCAGGGAAGCACCCAATCAGTTTCCTCCTTTTGTACCGCCCACTCCAACCTGTTGGAAGAGCTGTGTATGAGAACAAACAGAACTAAGGTCTGAATTCGTCCTCCAAAACCTGGTCTTAAGAGCTTGGTGGTACCAGCCTCCACCACTAGGAGACACCAAGAGCAAGGAAAGTGTGGACATAGAGGGTGCTAGGGTCCCCAGTGTGTACCCCTCACTCACTCACTCACTCACTCATTCATTTATTCAATATATTCTGAGCACTGACTACAGACCAGACAGTGATCTAGGTACTGGGGATACAGAATATACCCTGCCATTGTGGAGCTCACATACTGGCCAAAAGGGACACTTATAAAGTAAACGAACACATTCTCAAGATAATTACACATAATTACATATTAGGTTGGGAGCTATGAAGCCAATAAACAAGGTGATGAGTTGGAGAGTAGCCAGGTGTTGGTTGACGTCAGAGAAAGCTTTTCTGAGGTTTTATTTTATTTATTTTATGAGGTAAGCCTGAGAGGTGAGGTTCCAGACAGAGGGAACTGCAAATAAAAAGGATCCTGATTTGTTTGGACCTACACAGAAAGGCTAATGGGCTAGAGTTTAGTGAGAGAGGGAGGGAGAGAGCCATGAGATGAAGTTGGAGATACATAGCAGGGATTTTATGGAAGCGATGTAAGAGCTTTGGGCAAGAGAAAAACGGATTGAATTTTTTAAATTGATTAATTGTTGTAGTTAGTAGGCTCTTAGTTCTCCAGGGCCTGGTACTTGAGTAATCTAATAAATACTAATTCATAGGAGCATGTCTTATGGGATCTCCTCTATGACTTCCTCGCTGTAGGTGGATATGGCTATGCCTATTTTACAGGTGAAGAGACTGAGGCCCAGAGACTTATCTGAGATCACCCAGGAAGGTGAAGGCTGAAATTCACCAGCACCCCCCCCCCACCAGTGCTCTTAGCAAGGTAGTGAAGTGAAGGTAGACTTCCTTCATACTATATATGATTACATCTCATTTATCACACAAGGTTCCATTTTTCATTGGCGTTGATAACTGCCTCCTTCTTTTATTTTCATTTGCTAATTTTCTATATAATTAGCATTGATCCATTTTACATCTTCCGTTAACCTTCCGATTTTCCACAAAATTAAATGTATCAATACTCTTATCAGGTCCATGTTCCTTTTTCTGGGAGCCTTCAGGCTCCTGTTCCCATGTGCTGTGTCTGTTCCAGACTGGTTGGTGTCTAGGCCTGCTGTAGAGCCATTACCTTGAGACCTCCCTTCACCTTCTCTGTGCTGGCTTGGGTTTTTCTCTTTCCTGGTTTGCCCCCATGTTTTCCTGGAGCACATCTTCCAGTGGTTTCTTGAGAGAGTCCCTGGGATGAAACCACTTTGACACCTTGCATGTCTAAAAATATCTTTATTCTACTTGTTTGAAAAATGTGGCTAGGTATAGAATTATACAGTGAAAATCATTTACCCTCAGAATTTTGAAGGCATTACTTCATTGTCTTTTAGCTTCCAATTCCCTGTTGAGAAGTCTGATACCATTCTTATCCCCAGAACTTTTTTTTTTAAGTTGTATTTATTCATTTTTGAGAGAGAGAGAGAGTGAGCAAGCAGGGGAGAGGGAGAGAGAATCCCAAGCACGCTCCACACTGCCAGTCTGATGTGGGGCTCAAACCCATGAACCGTGAGATCATGACCTGAGTCAAAATCAAGAGTCAGACGCTCGGGGCGCCTGGGTGGCGCAGTTGGTTAAGCGTCCGACTTCAGCCAGGTCACGATCTCGCGTTCTGTGAGTTCCAGCCCCGCGTCGGGCTCTGGGCTGATGGCTCAGAGCCTGGAGCCTGTTTCCGATTCTGTGTCTCCCTCTCTCTCTGCCCCTCGCCCGTTCATGCTCTGTCTCTCTCTGTCCCAAAAATAAATAAACGTTGAAAAAAAAAAATTTAAAAAAAAAAAATAAAAAAAAAAGAGTCAGACGCTCAACTGACTGAGCCACCCAGACACCCATCCCCAGACCTTTCTATGTGTTCTTCCCCTCCCCAGAAGAATGGGCTCTGGAGTCACACTGCCTAGCAGATGGCTTGTGCAACCTTGGACAAATTTCTTAATGTCTCTGCATCTCAGCTTCCTTGTTTGCAAAATGGGATTGTTCGCAGTTCAAATGAATTAATACATATGAAACAGTTCTCTTTACCACTGGCATTTTAAAGTTTAATACAATTAGTGTACGTCATTTTTCACTCACTATGCTGGAAAGTCAAAAGATGTGTGATATTTACAACCTTTTAAATTTTAGAAAACTTTTTTGTATTATTTTATATAATTTTTTTCTTCCATTTGCTTTATTACCTCTTTTTGGAATTCCTTCTAGATGTTGAACCTCCTGACTTACCTCTAATCTCCATCACATTTTTTTCTTCTATTGTACATCTTTTTGTTGTTATTCTACTTTCTGATAAACTTACTCAATTTTAAGTTAATATTGTTTTTTAATGTTTATTTTGAGAGAGACAGAATGCGAGCGAGGGAGTGGCAGAGAGAGGGAGACACAGAATCCAAAGCAGGCTTGAGGCTCTAAGCTGTCAACACAGAGCCAGATGCAGGGCTCGAACCCATGAATGGCGAGGTCATGACCTGAGCCAAAGTCAGATGCTCAACCGACTGAGCCACTAAACTTCCCCAACTTTATCGAGAGTCTTCTACTGATTTTTTAAATTTTAGTAATATTTTATATTCTAAGTGCTTTGTTCTCATATCTTTTTATGGACACTTTATATTCTTTTACCTTTTTGTTTTTCTTCTGCTCCCTGTATTCTCTTTATTTTCTTTTTGCTTTGACTTCTTTCACGTTAGAGGCTTGCCTCAAATGTCTGGTGATCCTTAACTGCTTATATTTAAGAATGAGGCATCGAAAAGAACGTGCTTGGGTGAAACTTTCCATATGAGAGTCTTCCTGATATAGGGATTTTCACCGGGGGCTCCCTAAATACTTATAGGGTTTTTTTCTGGGCACATTCTTTTTCTCCAGAGGAGCAAAAAGTGGTATAAGCTTCCTGGACGGTGTTTTTAGTAGCTAGGGGAGGGGGCTGGGACAGTCTCATTTTTGTCTTTATTCTTGTGTTTGGTAAGGCCTCTGTTCTCTACTGCGGTGTCTCTGACGATGCAGTATTTTTAAAACTCATTCCTCAGAAAGTAAACCTCCCTTTACCTACAGAGGTGAGAGGCAGTCATCTGGCTCTGTGACGTGGGGGAAAGGTTTGAGAACTTCAAAGATCTCATTGTAATTATGCTGTATATAAACTTTCAAAAAGTAGCTGTCTTTATCCCTCCCCTTAAGCCCTTAGTACCCTCAGAGCCTAGCTCCTTGCTTCCTATTTGTATTCCCCAACTCTGAAAGCATTTACTTTGGCTTCCCCTATTCTGCTAAGTCAGTTGTTACCCTTCTCCCGCCTATTTCCAATGTTTAAAGAATTGTTGATACCTTTCTTTTGCGATTTCCTTTCCCACCCTCTAGTCCTTGGGCTTTCTGCCTTTTGAGTCCTTTGCTATCAACTGAGGGGGAGGGCACAAAACTAAATCTAGGTGTTAAATGCTCTGGTCCAGGATCAGGGAAAACATTTTCACTCCCAACTTGCCAGAGTCCAAATGTATCAATTGGCTCATTTTATAAGACTGTAAAAGATTCAGAACTCCCAAGAATCCAAATAGTAGTCAGAAGAATTTCTCAACAAAGTCCCTTTTATTTATTTCACTAGAAATTACTTTATTGATTAAATCACCAGAAATTTTCAGTGCAAGATTTAACATCTCAATGACCATCAAGGCTTGGGCTCTGGGGCTTAATCTGCCTCCCCCAGTCCTTAAAGGGTTTAGAGGGAGAGACGTCATTAACAGAGACCAAATCAGATGGCCGCAGGTCCTCCTTTCCCAGTCATTGGACAAGCTGCTCAATTCTTGCCCAGAGCAGGAAAGAGCCAGTGTTTCTGAAAACAAATCTAATAAAGAATTTGACATTGCAATGTAAGATCTCTCTTAACAATTTAGTTCTATCAACAGTATTGGTCCAAACTTATTTGCTTCTGATCTAAATCATTTTGCAATTTACCTTTTTTGGTATGTATGTCATTTCAATAACCTCACCCCCTGTGCAGACATGAATCAACCCAATGCTAAGAAAAATCCCTCAAACCAGAAGAGCCTCATCTTGTTCTTGGAAAGAAGTAACAGAGGTTTTTCTGCTTCTCTTCCATGTAAGAGATGAACAAACCCCACCTTGAAGTCCAAAATGTTACTTCTGGCCTTGGAATGTGCAGCTTGTGATGAGCCGATTCAAATCACCGAGAAAGGGCAGCCGGAACTACTATGCAGGCAGCCTTCTTTGGAAATTTCTTCTTAAAATACAGTTTTGAGAATCGTCCATGATTGTGTACAAAGACTCTAAGGTCCACACAACTTCTGCTATTCCGTCTCAGGAGCTAGGTTCAGAGGCAGCATTGGAATTGTCAGGAACGAGAGCAGTAGCAGTGGCCCCGCGAGGTAGGACCTCAATAACTCGAGGCTTGTCAATGATCCGAGCTGTCCGGTTTCCCTTTTCCACAATACCGACGATCCATGCTTGGTGACCCTCTCCATACTTGGAAGATTTGATTTCAGAACAAAAACGAGCTGCCTGTTCTCTCGGCAGACAAATCAGTAATCCCCCAGAAGTTTCTGCTGAGGTTCCTTGAAGGAGCCCAAAGCGCCCACTGGCCTTGCTGATGGCAGCCATCTTGGCAATGATTGGCAGATTATGAATGACAAATGACACCTCATTTCTTTGTTGTTTTGCAAGGTTCTGAGAGTGTCCTAGAATGCCAAAGCCTGTGATATCTGTGGCTGCGTGTGCATTAAACGTGTGCATCAGTCCAGCAGCAGTTCTGTTTAGGGTAGCCATATTGAACATGGCTTCCTGATAAGCTAGCTCTACCTCTTCTCTGGAGACCACCATATTTATTTTATTCCATCTTTCAGGATTATCCAGCCATTGGTGGGCATTGACAGCAACTTGGGTTCCTAAGGGTTTGGTTAACACGAGCACATCCCCAACAACTGCACTGTCCGGCATGATGAATTCATTTGGCTGACATACCACAGTGGCAACCCCTCCGACGATAATCCAAGGGTTTACTACTGTCTGTCCACCAGTCACTGCAGTCCCTCCTTCCTCAGCAGCGTCGCGAAAGCCTTTGATCATGAGCGGTGTTATCTTTTCTCGTTCCTCCTCAGTCATACTCTGGCTGACGCTGAGTAACATCAACATGTTGTCACATTCAGTAATACCCATGGCGTAGAGGTCACTCAGCACGTTGGCACACGCTATGCGCCCCATCATGTAGGGATCTTCCACTAGGGGGTAAAAGAAGTCCGTGGTCTGCACCAGTGACAGGCCCCCGTGCCTCAGGGGTATGACGCAGGAGTCCATCCCAATGCCCAGGGCTGGAAAGGTTGGGTTGGGTTCCGCCCCGGCCTGGACGCCGCCTTCCTGGGCCGCCTCTTCATGGCTTCCGACCAGGCCCAGACCCGACGGGGGCCGAACGTCTGGCCGCGTCAGTCCCGCCAGGAGTTTGAGCAGCGTCTCCTGGGGGACTTTGCAGCCTCAGCCCTTCATGCCGGAGAAGCCCGTCAGCCGCCAGCTCGGGCTGAGGCCCAGCGCCTGGGGCTCGAAGGGCCGGTAGCTCGAGAAGCCGCGGCCCAGAGACAAGCCGGCGAATCCCGAGCCTTCCGCCGCCGCCACCGCCACCTCTCCGCCGGCGCCCGGCGCCGCCGCTTCTGCCATCGCGCCTGCCCGGCAGGGAGGGGAAGAGGAGAGGAGCGCTCGCTTTTATTTTCTACTCCAGTTAATATGGATTAACAGATATTACCGCAGAGAGTCTCCTCCGCACGACTCGCGCACCCCGACTCACGCCACACCGAGCGCTCCTGGCCTTCCTGGGGGAGGGGCCGCCGGCCTCCCGTACTTATAGCCCTGGTGATTGACAGCCGTGCCATCCAATGACGATTTCGCAACCGAGGGCGGGCTTCCTTTCATCTAAGAGATGAATTACAAATCAACCAGCAGTTTGCGAAACTGGTGTGGACTAGGTTACCCGTTTGCTATTTGGTTCGCTCCGCTAGTTGTAATTTAAACGATCTCTTGGGAGAGGCTGGCGCGACTTTGCTCCCTAGAGGCAGTTGACCAAGTGCTGCATTTTCGGAGATGAGGAATTTGGGGGTCACTTGGTAGATCTATTACAGGTCAGAAAGGTCCAAGGGTCACATGACAGCGCACGTGACCAATCCAGGTTAGGAAAACAGCCCAGGGAAAAATTCGGAACGAATAATGAAAAATTAGATATTAAGTTACTACCATTAAGCAAGCAAACTGTAGCATCAAAATAATGAAATGTTAAAATGAGCTCCAAAAAATTGTAAGATTCAGGGGCGCCTGGCGGGCTCAGACGGAAGAGCATGCGACTTTTGCTCTCCCCGTCATGAGTTCAAGCCCCACATTGGGAGTAAAGATTACATTAAAAAAATAAACAATAAAAATAAAATAAAAATCTTTTAAGGCTTTTAAGGGCAGACACCTGCTTGGGTTCTGGTGCTGTTTCCACCACTAACTGCCGGTATGAGTCACTTTCCCTCTCTTGCATCAGTGATATATCTATCTGGACAACAGAGTAGCTTACCTTCTTTTGCCCTCAGGTTTCTGTATGTCTTTAAGTTAGTATATATGAGAATCTGTGATGTAACCCTGAAGAGCAATTTGCCAATATCCATTAAGGTTATAAATGCATATAATACCTTTGGCCCAGCAGTTCCAATTCTAGGACTTTATTCTACAGATGTACTCGTGAGCTGTGAGTGGGAAGTGGTAGGGATGTTTTGTTTTCTGTGCTGTTTGTAATATCAACATACTGGAAACAACCTAAATGTTTATCAATTATGATTAAAATAAATTGTGGTACGTTTATATAATAGACTATCCATCCAAGCAACTGTAAAACAGAACGAGAGAACATTGATGTAATTCTATTGATAATGGTTACAGTTCTAATAGGCACAGTCCTAAATGCTTTATGTATATTAACTTAGTCCTTATAAAACTCTTTGAGTTACGATTCTTTCCACATTTTACAGAAAAGGAATATAACGCACAGAGAGATTAAATGCCCTATTCAAGGTCATAGCCAGTTTAGAATGGAGCTGGATATGAATCCAAGCAATCTGTTCCAAAGACTACCAGGCTATACTGCGGATGATGTTTGTTAAGAGAAACAAGCAAGCTTCAGAGCAGTATTTATACAATACTACTATTTGTTGTAAAAGGGGGAAATATATGCAATAGCATATTTCTGGGAGTATAATCACCAGAAACTGGTAAATTGATTGCCTCTGGGGAGAGAATGAGGTGGTTGGGGATGGGAGATTCTTCAACAAAAAACTGGAAACAACCCATGCATCTGTTAACAGGGAATGCATAAACAAATTGTGGTATAATCACACGTGGAATATTATTTATCTGTTAAAATGAATGATAGGTATAGGTATCATCAATATGGATAATCTCAAAAACAAAATGTTGGGAGTAAAAAGCAAGTTGCAGAAGTGTACCTAAACTAAGATGCTATTCATATAATAAAATTCAGCACCAGGCAATGCAATAATATATTGATAAGATATGCAAAATGGTAAACACTTTTTTAAAAGGTAAGAGAGTGGATGATTAACAAAATTTAGCATAGGGATTACTCCTGGGGTAGGGTGCATAAGGGACCCCTGGGCTCCGTTTCCTTCTGTTTCTTGGGCTGGGTTATAGTTACATAATGTTCTTGAAACTGCACACATCTATTTCCCCACACTCTTTGTAAGTTATATCTCAACATTAAAAAAAAAGAGAAAGCGTGCTATATTTCAGAATTAAAAATACAAAAAGATAAACAAAATAGTCAAAAAGCAATAGATGTGGAAGCAACAGACATCTGGATTTTGTCTCACCTTTGGACTTGTCAATGAGCTGTCTAGCCTTGAAGAACTGATATAAACTGTCTATGCCTTAGTTTCCACTTTTGTAAAATGAAGGTTATAATCTCTGCTTAGGATCTGGCATAAGGATCATATGAAAATCTCAACTATGAAGATTTCTTTGCAAAGTATTCAGTACATTGTACATGTGAAGGATCTTCCTATCACTAAGGGAAAAATGAAAACATCCCAGTACATCTGTAGTCACCTCATCTGGGTTAAAAAGTGACTAGATCAGGTGCCCCTGGTTATACGCTCTCTTTGTTCTTTGGACTTTTTCCTCTAGGCATTTAGAACAATTTGTAATTCTTTATTCATTTGATAATCATGTGATTATGCCATGACTATCTGCCCCACTAGGCTGTAAGCTCCACAGTCAGGGGCTGCCCTGTTCCGTCCACCCTGATTTCCGTAGCACCTTACATGGCAATGACATTTGATGAATGAATATATCATCTTATGAAATACAGTTTGCTGGGCTCATGTGATGACTGGTGCTGAGCATCTTGTACTCATTCATCTCTTTTATTGTTTAAAAAAAAAGTTTATTGGGGCGCCTGGGTGGCTCAGTCGGTTAAGCGTCCGACTTCAGCCAGGTCACGATCTCGCGGTCCGGGAGTTCGAGCCCCGCGTCGGGCTCTGGGCTGATGGCTGAGCCTGGAGCCTGTTTCCGATTCTGTGTCTCCCTCTCTCTCTGCCCCTCCGCCGTTCATGCTCTGTCTCTCTCTGTCCCAAAAATAAATAAACGTTGAAAAAAAATTAAAAAAAAAGTTTATTTATTTATTTTGAGAGGGAGATAGAGAGAACAGGGGAGGGACAGAGGGGTGGGGGGAGATAGACAATCCCAAGCAGGCTCTGCGCTGCCAGTGTGACAGTGCAGAGCCCGACTCGGGGCTTGAACTCATGAACCAAGAGATCATGACCTGAGCAGAAAACAAGAGTTGGATGCTTAACCAACTGAGCCACCCAGGTGCCCCCATCTCCTCTTTTAATCCTCATAGCAGCCCCAGGAAATCAGCAGTATTATCCATTTTAGGGATGAGGAAACTGAGGTCCCCGATAAGTCAGGAGTGGTGCACAGGGTCACCAGCTGGAATCAACCTAGGGAGAATACAAACTTAGGTCTGTTTTGACCTGAAGGCTGGTGTTCTATCCCTCATCCTGGGGCTTCCCCTTGAGAATACTAACAACCCCCAACATGCCCCTGGAAAAAGCAGGACTCTGAAGGGAAGGTTTCATCCCTATAGTTCCCTGTTGCTTCTGTTTGGACAAAATGTTCGCTCAGGTCAAAAAAGTCATGAATTTGCCTTGGTCAGTGACCAACCCACTAGGCTTAGAACAAGTTCATGTGCCTTTGTGCAGGTGATCCACATGAGTCACAAGGGTGATCCTTATGACTGTATCATGAGCATTTGAAAGCATCCTTTTTATCTTTTTCTTGTTTCTCGCTGAAAGATCCATTGAATCACATTTACCACTTGGGTGAAAGCATATGGGTCAAAGATTGCAAGAGTGAAAACCTGGAGGTGGGGTTGGAAAAGCAGGCAAAGAAGAAGAGGTGGTTTTTGTTTATTTGTATGTTTTTTTAATTTTTTTAATGTTTATTTTTGAGAGAGAGAGAGAGAGAGAGCAGGAAGGGGCAGAGAGAGAGGGAGACATAGAATTGGAAGCAGGCTCCAGGCTCTGAGCTGTCAGGACAAAGCCAGACATGGGGCTCAAATTCACAGACCGCGAAATCATGACCTGAGCTGTTGTCACAGACCTCACGATCATGACCTGAGCTGTTGTCACAGACCCGAGATCATGACCTGAGCTGTTGTCACAGACCTTGCGATCATGACCTGAGCTGTTGTCACAGACCTCGAGATCATGACCTGAGCTGTTGTCACAGACCTCGAGATCATGACCTGAGCTGTTGTCACAGACCTCGAGATCATGACCTGAGCTGTTGTCACAGACCTCGAGATCATGACCTGAGCTGTTGTCACAGACCTCGAGATCATGACCTGAGCTGTTGTCACAGACCTCGAGATCATGACCTGAGCTGTTGTCGGCCGCCCAACTGACTGAGCCACCCAGGCGCCCCATGATTGTGTTTTAAGTAGGCTTCAAAACCTACCATGGGGTTTGAACTCGTGACTCTGAGATTAAGACCAAAGCTGGGGGCACCTGGGTGGCTCAGTGGGTTGAGTGTCCGACTTCAGCTCAGATGATGGTTTCTCCGTTGGTGACTTCAGGCCTCACATCGGGCTCTGTGCTGACAGCTCAGAGCCTGGAGCCTGCTTCGGATTCTTTGTGTGTGTGTGTCTCTCTCTCTGCCCTTCCCCTGCTCATACTCTCTCTCCCTCTCTCTCTCTCATTCTCAAAAATAAGTAAACATAAAGAAGAAGAAAAGGAGAAGAAGAAGAAGAAGAAGAAGAAGAAGAAGAAGAAGAAGAAGGCCTGAATACCAGCCCCTCATTTGCTTTTCACATACAACAAAAACACTGAGGCTGGTGCTAGTTTTTCACATTATGATAATGTAGAGTTATAACACTACACTTAAAGGTTTAGGACACTTTATTTTTTAATTTAAAAAAAAATTTTTAATATTTGATTTTAAGTAATCTCCACACCCAACGTGGGGCTCACACCCATAACCCCAAGATCAAGAGTTGCAGTTCCACCGACAGAGCCAGCCAGGGGCCCCAGGTTCAGCACATTTTAAAGAAGTCTTTTTAATTGTGGTAAATATACACTCAGTATATTTCTAGTATACTGAGAATATTTCAG